CGTGTGAACGCATCTAAAACGAAAAGCCTGGTGCTTTCTCGTTCTCCTGCCCGTTGGTCTCTTCAGATTAGCGGAGAGGCAGTGGAGCAGGTGGAGAAGTTCAATTACAAGGGAACTATATTTACTAGTGATGGAAAATTGAAGGAAGAGATCGACCGGCGAATTGGCGTAGCCAGTGGCGTTCTGCGTGAACTAGCCCGATCGATTTTGACGAAAGCAGAGCTCAGTCTGAAAACTAAGCTCTCGCTGTTCAAGTCCATCTTAATCCCCATGCTTACGTACGGTAATAAGTCGTGGACCATGACTGAAAAACTTCGAACCGGGTACAAGCTGCTGAAATGGGCTACCTTAGACGAGTCGCTGGCCTTACGTATGTTCTCGTGGTACGCAATACGGACATCCGCGAGTGCCTTGCTGTACATCCTATGCTTCTCCAGACTGATAAGTCACAGCTGCGATGGTTTGGGCATGTGTTGCGAATGCTTTCAGAAAGGAAGGCTAAGCGACTCTTTGTTGGGAAACCGACCGGCAGGGGACCCAGAGGACGGCCATGATTAACCTGGTGCAAATACATGGAAAGAGTCTGCTCTAGACTCCAGTTGTCTTCTGCCGAGGCTCAGACAGTGGCACAGATCGGGAAAGTTGGAAGCTCTGTGTGACGCGTTTGTCTGCGGGACCGGAAATGAGAAGCGGCGTTGGAAGATGAAGTTGAAGGAAATGCTCGGCTGAGGTTAAAACTTATATCGTCAAAAAGGCATAAATGGACTTGCATCACAATGGCGCAGTCTGTGCCGAACGTATTTTAGATTCGAAGGATTAAATTAGCTCTGTTCACCCAGGTCAAAAGATGTATGAATAGAAACAACGGCCCTAACCCGAGAAATATCTGGTCATCAGCTGTTAATAAAAAGCTGTCAACATTAATCTCCACTTAGATTCTTGTAGGCCAGAATTTACCTCATTTGACATTTATCAAATGTTTTTATTATTGCACATCGTCAACGAGCCACGGCTTGAAACGTTGGTAATTTGTAGAATGAAATGTACATGCTGATTAGTCCCATAACAGACATGAAGTCCACGAATTATTTGAGAAACATAGTATAATTAATTACTAAACTGCTATCTCTGTAACGGATGCACTGTCGTGTTAAACTTCACTACATCGGGTATTAAACGGTAAATAATTTGTCATATTAAATATAATCGTGTGCTAGCCGATATGCCAGCTAACCTGATGGCGTGCATCTTATAAGCGATAACTATGACATCTCTGGTAATACCTGTTCTTTGATGTTCATCTGGTGACTTTCCAGTACTACGTCGAATTTTTCCAGCAGCTGCTGCGTTGAATTTAACGACTCCAAGTAGCCTACCGCTACCGTCCGCAAAACCTTCGCCCTACTTTCCACGTCTGCAAGCAACAGGGTCAAGTCTTTCCGTTTCTTGACGAAGGTTTGGTGCATTTGGTTTGCGACAGCAATCTCTTCCATGGTTTGTGGTCGGATAGCCAACGTCTTGATGGCATCGGTAAGAAACTGGTTGATCATCTGAACGTTCGTTTGAACCGAGTTGCGAAGCGTGAACACTAGCGTGTCGTAGATGCGCTGCAGCAATTCTTCAATGCTCATCTTTACAGGCTGTGTATTGACGATTAGGCAGCCAATTTTCACCTCACTGAAACCATTCAATAAAAATGCCTAGTCGGTCAAATGAATCAAAAATACTTAGGAAGTTTCTCAACGTCTCTTCCTTTGGATTTGATCAGTTTGAAATTGTATTCCCAGTCCAAAACAGCGTTAAATTTCTCCTCTATCAGTTGATCCAAATTTATTTGGCCTATTTGGACCCATTCCTGAAACAGTTTGATAAACTGATTGAAGCTTTTATTTATTTAAATATGCTTAATACGCTCATTATATTATTTTTCATGAACGACGACTATTAGTCATAATTATAGAGAATATGCACTGTCAGTTAAGATCGTGGAAAACCACCGGCGACAGATGATATCCTCATTAGATTCCTCGCTTAGGTTAACTGTTGCAACCTCTGCAATACAATAAAGTTGAAAAGCCGCGAATAAAGCTAGCGAAATGAACAAGGGACATTCTACTGATGCAAACGGCTCAAAGCAATGATATCAGCATACGCCCACACGACTCGTTGCATGAACAGCCTCGAATGGTACAGTTATTTGTTTCTCTGCATATACAACATGTTCGTTACCATTTTGAATTGTTTTGACGACAAGCGTTTACCATGAACGTTTCTTCCAGATCTGCAAGCTGCTCGAACAGTTCTTCAGCGTCGGCGTAGAGTTTGCAAAAATGATCAGAGCTGCGTTCAATTATTGTGAGGAAAATGTTATCTTCGTCAGCAGGAAGCACATCGTATACACCTTTGAAATTCTGCGGTATGCCGAGAAACTTTCTTAGCTCGTGATAGTACTTAGATCGTATTTCTTCAGCCGGTGGCTTCAGTACCAGCTGCTGCTGCCTAAAACACGACCATGAGGACGGTGAGGGATATATCACTGCAGTCGTTTACCGATACAGCAGCTCAAGCTTGATATCTGGTAAGTCATCAGCCAGCTTTATTAGTCCCACTTGAAACTGATGATGCAAAGCTTTGTAAAGTTGGAAGTTCCAGTGTAGCTTCCAAGCTTTCATGTTCTCCGACTTTATTTGCTGAAACAGTTAATTATTTAACTGAAGTACATTTGGTAGCGTTATCACAAAAAGGAACAATTGTGAATATTTGTGTAATATACTGCAGGATTATAACGAGAAGACAAAATGATTGAATTCTTCAACACAAGTTAATCAAGTTCTGATAAATGTGCGTGGGCCAAATGGCAGAAACTCTTACGAATACCATTTACGCTAGAATAAGGCTTATGCTTAGACTCAGTCTTCAAACATTCCAATAAGAAGTTAGAGACAACTCGGTAACATTACATAACAAGATGCCATGCGGAATAGCCTGCCTGTCACTGCTGATAACATAAATCGCAATGCATTACTCTATTTGAAAATGTTACTGAACTGCGAATAAAAGCAGCGTACCATCTGAAGGCGCCTTGTGAGCACCCATCTTCATAGCTATTTTTCCTTTCGCGTAGTTAGGACAGCAGTTCCAGGGGAATTATCGACTGTCGTCCATCATCTGCCAATCAGGCAACGTGGGGTGCATTCAAAGAAGAGAGATTGTCAAGTGCTTAGCAGACTCTAAAGATTTGATACTCAATTTGTTCATCGATGGTCTTCCACATGATTGCCAAGAGAGTGTGTCAAATGAATTTCTCTTACGACATACTGTTCAGACGTCCAAACTATGGCAGTTTTTATTTCTGTCTGAAAAAAAAATAAAAATGCGCCTCAGGTGAGGACAGACTGTCCTTATCATCGGTTTTTCGAGCCTCTTTGCAAGAGTGATGAAAGTCACTGCTCCGGCTTCTCTTTAGAACTGCATACAGTCGGGCAAGATTCAGTACTTTCGCTCATGAGGAAGCGCAGTAGCAATGCAGAGAGACTTGACAACAAACATCTTCGCACTCTGTTCTTGCGAACTGCGTGATGAAGTCATGTAGTCGCCAGTGTTATACGCACATTTTTGGTGTCTGTTTATCTGTTATCGCGACGAAAAATATATCAGAAAGATATGTAGGGTCTGCAGAAACTGCGCTACCATATGAACTTAATTTAACGGCTTCTGCGTATTTAAAATAGCTCTGCTCAAATAGCAACCTGTCGTTCGACGTCCTTCATCAATTCACGGATTTTCAGCAACACTTCTTTCCATTTCGTTTGGGTACGGAGCAAGTCGACAGAAAATAAACCGCATACCTAAAGTACGAATGCAGAAAAAACATCGTGATTTTACCAGTCATTTAGTTCTAAGAAACAGTGGCATCAGCTCAGGATTCCAGGATTGTAGCATATGTGAAACGCACTTTTAAGCTTTCTCCAATCACTTCGTTTGTGTATAGACGACCATTCAACTGCTTTTACAATTAACAGTTGGTTGGGGTTGCTCAGTCACTAGGCTGCAGACTCATCGCCGATTAATCATGTTTCTGAATCCCTAACGGTAGGACTTGGTTTTCATCATTCTGAGGTAGATAGATGAGTGCCATCCCCTTGGTAGGAATGAAAAGACTACACTATGCAGTGCCGATTAAGTTAAAGACATCTTTCGAGAAAATTTTGCCTCCTCTGCTGGCTTCGTGATAGAAATCAGTGCTGCATCATAAGCTCTATAAAGAAAGATGTAAATTATGAAAATGTACGAGGTCGATCCGCAAACGGCTATAATCCTGCAAACGACTACTGAGGAAGCAAGACATTTACTTCATCCCTGAACGATACGGAACCTGTAACTCTTCGCCCGGACATTTGTCAGATTTTCATATCTTTCACAATATCCAGTTTTACCTACGGTCTACATAACGGCGATGCAGAGTCCTAGAACAGCACGCTTACATTACTTACCAGATCACATGTTTCAGCATGATATCGCTGCAACTTTCTGTTTAGGATCATCAGCCGCTGCGCCGACGCTTGAACGATTCCAATGTACTGTTCAACTTCTTTTGGGTTGTCCCAAATGACTTGATAAGACGACTCTTTAATCGTACGCGTCGACTTTGGAGTACGGATGGCCTTTTCAAATTCAATCGCGACGTCCAGCATCATCCCTTGCAAGCACGGCAACATCTGCCTTTCCGCGGTGTTGTAAAAATGAGCGACATAAAATGTACGAATATTTTTACTCATAATGCACCCTGTTGGTTTATGATGACATGTTACATGCATATTTGGAATAGAAATTTGGACTCGAACGCTGTGCGCATATCAACATGCATAATTTCATCAGGTCATGCAATTCCATTGCCTCGTCGTTGCTTTAGAAGGCTAAGGAAGAAATTTAAACTGTTTTTGCCCCAAGATATTTTAACGTTTTCAGTATATCAGCGTATTATGCGCTGTTCGTTTGTTACAATAATACCTTGTCATCACAGGTAAGCATTGGGAATTTTGCTGACGGTGGTGAAGCTGGAAAAAGAGCTATATGAATGGACTCACTACGCCATCTTTGTTAAGGAATCGCGGTCAGACTAATTCAACATCTTAAAACAATCGAAGACTTTCAGGGATAAGTATTCTTTCTCTTTTCTCCTATCGTTTCATCTTTGTTCATCTTATTTTCTCCTATATTTACGTCCAGTCATATCCTCATCTGATATCTGCAATGTTATCGCATATACTTCGCATCTTGTTATCTTATTTTTAATCGTCGTTGTCAATGAGGCGCAAAGAAATGTTGTCCAATGCACTGTGAGTTACTGATACGTGTCAAAGACACTGCTGATCGCACAAAGCACTATTTTAGACCATCTTGACAATCTTAGGGATAAGTCGCCTGTTGAAACTCTACAAATAGCTTACTGACGTGTACCAAAAGCGTGTTCAGCACGGCTGTATTACCAGAGGTCAGAGCTGAAACGTTTGCTTTTGTTTCGTCTGGTCAACGATCACAGGCTAAAATGGAATGATATGGTGATACACGTCAGCAGTGTGGAAACGTCTGCTTTCCTGAACCATTAT